TTTTCTTTTGTTCCGGGGAGGGGAGAGGGGGGAAAAGGCCTCTTTTAGCCCAGGCTGGCCCCAAACTCACCATGTAGCTAAGGGTGACCTTGACCTTGAACTGATTCTCCTGCCTCCAATTCCCAAGGGGCCGGGGTTACAGGTATACCACTTCACACTTGGCCTTTATCTCCTGATGTTTGTTTTTGTTTTTTGTTTTTTTGTTTTTTGAGACAGGGTTTCTCTGTGTAGCTTTGTGCCTTTCCTGGGACTCACTTGGTAGCCCAGGCTGGCCTCGAACTCACAGAGATCCGCCTGGCTCTGCCTCCCGAGTGCTGGGATTAAAGGCGTGCGCCACCACCGCCCGGCTCTCCTGATGTTTGAAGCAGCACATCTGGTCAGGAGCACAGCACCAGTTTGTGCTCTCTGCAGCCCCTGTGGGACTCCTGGGGTCCTTCTGCTCTTCAGCTGGATGCTAGTTGGGAGGTCTGATACTAAAAGCCAAGTATCAAGCTATGTGAGCTGGTTAATCCCAGCACTTTAATCCCAGCACTCAGGAGGCAGAGGCAGGTGGATCTCTGATTTTCAGGCCAGCCTGGTCTACAGAGTGAGGTCCTGGATAGCCAGGGCTGTTACACAGAGGAATCCTGTCTCAACAAACAAACAAACCAAAAAAAAAAAAAAAAAAAAAAAAAAAAGGAAATAATAAAAACTGAATATTATGAATATTAGATACTGCAAACTTGGTGATATCCTCTAAAAGGTTCAATTGGCTCATCCAGTGAAAGACACTGGTCTTTTTGTTTGTTTGTGCAGCCCTGGCTGTTCTAGAACTCACTCTGTAGACCAAGCTGGCCTGGAATTCAGAGATTCTCCTGCTTCTGCCTCCTGAGTGCTGGGATTAAAAGTGTATGCCACCATGCCTGGCCAAAGACAGGGGTCTTAATAAGCGCCAGTTAATCTCCCCACAGAATCACTGTAGTGGAAAGAATCGGGATGGGGGTGGGACTGCACTTCATCCCTTTTCTTGGCTTACAGGATCCCTCAGACTCTCAGAGATGGAAACACAAATGTTCCTCCCCCAGGGAAATAATGAGGATTCATGGTTCTCCCCCTCCCATACACACACACACACACACACACACACACACACACACACACACACACACACAATTTTTTTTTTTTTTTTTTTTTTTTTTGAGAAATAGGGTTTCTCTATGTAGCCCTGGCTGTCCTGGACCTCACTCTATAGATTAGGCTGGCCTCAAACTCAGAGATTCCCCTGCCTCTGCCCCTGGAGTGCTGGGATTAAAGGTGTGCACCATCATCACCTTAAAACATATCTACCTTCAAATTTTAGTTCAGGGAGACCACTTTGAGGCTTCTGAATCACTGGGAAGAGGGCTGCATGTGCCACTTGGAATAGAAAACAGCTAGTTGCTCTCTCGTGTCAATATGGAAGAATCTCTTCCGCTTGGAGTAAATCAGGGTATTTGACTAAATGGTAATGTCTTGAGTTTGGGCCCTCACTGGGATCTACTGACATTCAAAGAGCCTTTACAATCTACAAGATACAATATCCTGTGTTTTCTGTTGCTAGTTACCTGATTTCATTCTTCCCAGCAACTCCAGGATATGGCATTAATTATTTTAGTTAATAAGATGTCAGAGTAAAAGGCGGGGCATCTGCCCAGACAGGTTCTCTCTGGGAGGCAATATGTAAGGATGATAGTGGGAATCTGCTTGTGATGGGGGAAGGACTTGGGAGGTGATATCGGATTTCAAGGCTCTCCTTAGCTATACAGCAAGTGTGATACTAGCCTGGGTTACATGAGACCTTGTCTGAGAGAAAGAGAGACAGAGACAGAGGCAGGGAAGATCCTGAGGGACACCGGCTCCTAGGTAAAGAGATAAACCAGACCAGGCACAGAAATCCCAACCTTGGCTATAAATTCTGGCTTAGTTATGATAAAGTGCTGTCAAAGCCTGGCACAAAGAAGGCTGTAGAAGAATGTGCACCTGGCTAATACAGGAGGATCTTGAGAGTTCCATGCTAGCTTGGGTTACTAGTGAGTTCAAGGCTAACCTGAGACACTCAAGGGCTGGTGAGATGGCTCAGCAGCTAAAGGTGACTGAAGCCAAGCCTGATGCCTTGAGTTCCATTCCTGGGACCCATTGGTAGAAGACCATGGCCTGCGCACACTCCAAGAAAATAAATAAATAAATGCTAAAATAAGGATATTTGTAGCCCTTTAAAACAGAAACAATAGCAAAAATAGGCATGTTTATCAATAGCAGTTTCATAACACTGAAAATCTGCATACATCTCACCCTCCAACATTTTGTATACATACATACTATGGAAGAGTGTAATGTGTTATGAATGATACTGTGGATGTTTACAGACAGGAAAAGTATTTGTAGCCTATTACTTGATCAAACTGATTGCAACTGACTTACGTGATGCAATTTTGTTAAATTTATTTTTTAAATCCCATTTATTTATTGTATTGCCATTTTATTTATTTCTATGTGTATGTCTATGCATGTGTGCTCTTTGTGTGTGTGTGTGTGTGTGTGTGTGTGTGTGTGTGTGTGTTGATGTCAATTGTTTTCCTCTACAGTTCTCAATGTCAATTGTTTGCCTCTACAGTTCTCGACTTTTCTTTTTTCCCTAGACTGGGTTTCTCCCTGTAGCTCTGGCCATCCTGGAACTCACTCTGTGCTTTGTAGACCAGAGAGAGCTGGCCCTGAATTCAGAGGTATTAAAGGCACATTACTACTCCCAGCAACTTTTTTTTTTAATGTTAATGTATATGTCACCTGCATGTACATGTTTTCAGAAGCCAGAAGAGGGCATTGGATCTCCTGGAGCTGGAGTTGCAGGTGATTGTGAGCTGCCAGATGTGGGTGCTGGGAATCAAATTTGGGTCCTCTATGGGAGCAGGAAGCCCTCTTAATGGCTGAGCCACCATTCCAGGCTAACATTTATATATATTGCCAGCTATTGAACAATATTTATTTTGTGTAGTTTTATTATATGCATTTACATGTAAATATGGGGAGATGGAATGCCCACAGCTACACACTAAAACGGAATGTCTGTCTGTGAGGTTTTCAGCTGTTCCTAGTTGATTTTCAGTCTGGTCACAATGTATTTGTGCTAATGATAAGAGAAAGTCAGGTGTGAGGCTGTGCACACCTGTAAACCTAGCACTTGGGATACAAGGTCACCAGCTTGGGCTCCATGAGACCCTGGAGAGAGGGGAGAGAGGCACGTAGACAAGAGGGAAGAGGCAGTCTGGAGATATTTACTTGGCATGTAGGAGGCCCTGGGTTCCATTCCCAGTACCAAGATAAACTACAATATAGAAGTGCACGGTGTCCACTATGGAAGGGTGGGACACAGGTGTCTGCCTGGGTCCTTGGAGTCACAGGGCATCTTGCTGTGGTGTTCATTTTCAGTGTGCCCGGAGAATCAAGACCCATGTAATGGACGAGGAGTCTTACAGAGATTTGACTGGACTCTGGAGAACTCAAAAATCCCTCCCCACCATGTGTAAATTGAAGTCTGAAGTCTGTTTTTGATCCTGCTCCTAGGAGCCTTTGCTGATGTCACAGGGCCCATCTTCCTCTGATTCCTACTAGTTCCTCAGGCAGGCTAGAACTCCAGTGATCAGGCCAGGCCTTTGTAGCCAGTTCATTCCCATCATGCTCCTGGGATGACATCCTGGCCATCTCGATCAAATGTGGGTGTTCGCCATGCCAGCCACCCACTGGGACAAGGCATCTTTGAAGGAGTGTCTTTGCCACAGCTGGCTCTCTGCCTTTGTAGCCTGTGAGTCACTCTGGTTTCAGCCCATCTTCCCATTTCTAGGTTGTAAGGACGCCTCCCTGACACACCTTCATTTTAGAGTTAAGGTGAATAAAAGCTACTATATATTGCTGGTGCTCATGCACCAAACAGCACAAGGGGTGTGGGCTCTTCTAAGCCGCACTGCTCACTGGGAAGCAGGTATGTGCAGCCTTATAGATGAGTAGATCAGTGGTTGACTCAGCCACAGATCTATGCCACATAAGTCTGGGCACTTGAACACAAGATACTCAACAACCCATAGGTCTATCCCCTTCCCCCCACTTTTGGTTTTTTTCGATACAGGGTTTCTCTGTGTAGCTTTGTGCCTTTCCTGAATCTCCTCTGTAGACCAGGCTGGCCTCGAACTCACAGAGATCTGCCTGCCTCTGCCTCCCGAGTGCTGGGATTAAAGGTGTGCGCCACCGCCACCGCCCGGCTTCCCCCACGTTTATATCCTCTGTTTAATATTTTGAAGCAGGGCCTCACCATGTAGCCCAAGCTGGCCTTGAACTTAGATTTTTTATGTTGGTAGCTCTGGGAATTCAACACAGGCCCTCACTCAGGCTAGATTAGGTGCTCTACCACTGAGCTACATTCCCAGCCCTCTTTCTTACATTTTGAGACATGGTCTCTATATGTTGCCCAGGCTGGCCTTCAAATTTTGATCCTCCTGCCTCAGTCTCCCAGGTAGCTAGAATTACAGCTCTTTTACTTACTTATTTTGATTCTCGATCTCTTTTCAAACAGGAACTTTCTAGGCACACCAGCCCGGCTGCAAACTCACAGGCTCTACCAGATTCTGCCTCAGAGCGTTGGTGTTAAAGGTGTGTCTAATCATCACCTGACTTCAGTTACCTCCATTTTTATACGGCCGGAAACTGGGGCTACATTATTTACTGAACATATTAGTCACTTATGTTGAGGAAGCTGGCAAGTGAAATGGGATAAACTTTGAACATTTCCCTGACACTAACACTGTCTTCTGCTTGTGCCCACAACCGTCCTCTTCCCCAGCATGTACTCTGTATTTTCTGCAAGTACTTGAATTTTTTTTTCTTCTTTTGGACAGGACTTCTCTATATAATCATGGCTGGCTTGTAACTCATTATGTAGACCAGGCTGCCTCAAAGTCACAGAGATCCACCTGCCTCTGCAGTTTCCCCAGTGCTGGGATTAAAGGCGTGCACCACCAGGCCTGGCTGCTAGAACTCAACAGTTCTTAAAATTTAGAATGTCCTTTTTTGCCCTGCAGACACATTGTTCCCTCCCACGCTTTTTTGTTGTGGTTTTGAGATAGGGTCTCTCTGTGTAGTCCTAGCTATCCAGGAACTACATAGATCAGGTTGGCCTTAAACTCATAAAGATCTGCCTGCCTCTGCCATCCAAGTGCTGGAACTAAAGGCCTGTGCCACCACGCCTGGCTCCCTCCCATGCTTTAGACTAGCATAGCCCTACTTACCTAGATGACCTTCAGGAAGCCTCCACTGACCACCCTTGTCCTCTGAGGTGCTGCCACACACTGCACTGTTGTCACCACCCCCACGCTTTTTTTATTTTTTTGAGAAGGGGTCTCACTTAGTCCAGCCCGGAACTGGCTATGTAGCTTGGGCTGGCCTTGAACTTCTGATCTTCCTGTCTCTACCTTCCAGACTCTGCGATTATAATCACGCACAACTGTGCCTCTCTCTTCTTAGTTCTGTTGAGACAAGGCCTTGCAATAATGGTCTGGCTATCCTGGTTTTTAATATGTAGCCTACGATGACCTCAAACTCCTGACAATCCTCCTGCCTCAGCTTTGCAAGTGCTGGGACTACAAGTATGCACCATGATGCCTGGCTCTGAGGCCCAGCTGTCTCCTGCTCCTCTACCAGTTTGCAAAGCCAGAGAACAAGGAACCAGACTGGTCGGTGGTTAAGTCCGGAGCACCAGGCTGAGGAGCTGGCACACAGCAGGTACATAGTGAATGTAGTTGAATGAATACTCGACTCTCAGAGATGACTTTGTCTCTTTTTTGGAGGACATGGCTTGGGTGTTCTGAAGAGGGGCAGGTAATGACAGGGCTGTGGCTTCCTGCATTCCCTACTAAAAGGGTGTACTGGGAAGCCGCTGGGGTCACTAGAGAGGCCCAGTGAGCTGAGCCTGAAATCATGGGGTCGTTCTTGCTGAACCAAACTCTCTGGCTTCTGTTTTCTCACTCCTTGCCAGAAATAAATCATGTTCTGAGTGACTGGAGTCATTGCTCACAGCTCCGTGAGCTGGTGTAGGGTGGGGCGAGGGGGCAGTGGCCTTGGGGCTCCTGTCAGTAAAGGCCCAGGCCTTTGGGCTGGGGGGAGGGGAAGGAGTGGCTGGTCCTATCCCTGGGAGGCTGCAGTCATTGGGGGAGAGACAATGGGGCTCAGCGTCTGCTCCTAGCTGGGAGAAGGGACCCTCCAGTGAAAAGCCAGGGAGAGCAGGGAAGTGTGGGAGGAATTGATGAGAAGGGGTGGAGCCAAGGAGATGCAGCCCGGAGGAAGGAGGGAAGGGGAAGGAAGAGCGCAGGGAGGGGAGAGGATCCAGGCTTCTCTTCTGCTCGGTGACCTGGTCCGGAGCCGCAGCTTCCCTCGCTTTGTCTGGGCCCGCCGAGACCTCACGTTTCTCGCCCAGCTGCAGCCCCAGTCCAAGGGCCAGGCATCCAGCAGGTGCTCAATACTTACTTGGGAAAATAAGAAATGTGGCCAACTTTGCTCTGGGAACTTTTCCCCCGTGTTGTCTCCACTCCTCCGGAGAAGCCGAGGACAGAGCTGGTCTTGGGAGCACGCCCAGGCGCCCCATGAATAATTGACCCTTGGTGGCGACACTGCCCGGCTCTGTCCGCGGGCTCGGCACCCGCCCTGCGTCGGAGTCGAGCGGCGCAGCTGAGTGGCGGGTGTCCGGGAGGTTGGAGGCGGGGTGTCCGGCCTGTCCCAGAGCTGGGAGGAGGCCAGGCTAGGCTGAACCCCGGGCCCCGCAGGGAGCCACAAGGGCCCAGACCTCAGCTAACGACCACGCCTCGGCGCCCCCCAGCCGTGCACCCCGGGGGCCGAACCTAGGCCCTGGGCTTGGGGGGGCCTGAGGAGCTGAACTCCCCTGAACCCCTTCGCACACGGGTCCCGGCGATCACAGCCGGAGCCGTTCCCTCGAGTCTGACCGTCCAGGGCTCTGAACAGCTGTTTAAAGGCGCTTTAGTGTTCAGGGCTCTGCGGCTGCGTTTGCTCCAAGCCCATCTGCCCACTTAAAAAATATATTAAGTGAAGAGCACCCCCCCCACCCCCCAGCTTCCACCCCTGGCTGGGAGGGGGCGGACTCAGAGCCCCTACCCATATTTTCGGAAGGACTGGGCACCCAGGGGCTCCCCCGGACCCCCATCCCAGTGGCTCTTCTTTGGGATAGGACACCCCAGGCTTCCTGGGGGGGGGGCTGTTCTCTCGGGCCCCCTTTGTGCCTGGCAGGGACAGCCCCCCATTTCCATTCGAGGTTCTGAGGCTCCCTTCTCCCCCGCTTGTTAATCTTTGTTCCCCTTTTCTGCTGAGAGGAGGGGGGGAAAAAAGGAGAGGGAGAAAGAAAAGAAGGAAAAAGGCGTGACTCGATTTTCAAACGAAACTCCCACAGCAAACAAAACCCTTTTAGAGAAATAAGAAAGGAGGAAGGAGGAAGAAAAGAGGAAAGAGGAAGAAAAAAAAAAAAGAGAAGCCTCCAGGCTTGCAATTCGAGTACGAGAGTTGCACGGAAAGAAAGAGAAAGAAAAGGAGAAAAATCCTCTCTGCGGTAGAAAGAGAAAAAGAAAACTTGGGCCGGCAAGAGGGGGGTGCTGGGGGGGTGGTGGAAGGAAGTGAGAAAACAAAAGAGAGATAAAAGGGCTGCTTTTCTGTCTCTCTCTTCCTCTGCGAGCTGGCTTAGGAGGAGCTGTTTAGCATCCCTTCACGTCAGCCCTGCCTCATTCCCTTCTTCCAGGGAGGGAGAGAGCGCGAGCGAGCGAGCGAGCGAGCGAGCGCGAGAGAGAGCAGGAGGGAGAGAGAGAGAGAGAGAGAGAGAGGGGGAGAGAGAAAGAGAGGAGCCGGAGGGAGGGTGGCAGAGCAGGGCGGGCGCGCGTGGAGGCGGCGCGCAGCAGCAGCCCGGGCGGTGGGCAGCAGGAGCCCCCGGCCCGCCCGGCCCGGCCCGGCCAGCCGAGGGCCCCCCGCGCGAGGAGCCGCGCCCGGACCCAGGGTGAGTGTCCCGCGCGGCCCGCGGCCCCGCCGGTCCCCCCCCGGGCGGCCCGCGGCGGGGTGGCTGGGGGCGCGGGGGTGGGTCGCTGCGGCCGCGGTCGACCCGCCCCCCGCCTCTCCCCGGGGACGGCGGCGCGCAGGCCCGCAAGCCGCGCTGCAAACATGTCGTCTTTTCCTTTCACTTCCACATTCCCTCATGCCGGAGAGCTGGAGCGAGAGAGGGAGAGCTGGGGAAAAGAGGGAGAGATGGCGTCTGGAGGGGGGGGGAGGGAGGGAGGGAGGGAGAGGGGGAAGGGAAGAAGGGAGAGAGGGAGGAGAGCGCGCGAAGGGGGGGGAGAGGGAGAGAGGGAGAGAGAGAGAGAGAGAGAGAGAAAGAGAGAGATAGAGAGGCAAAATGAAAGGAGAGCGCGGCGGCGGCGCGGGAGGCCGGGGAGGCGGCGGCGGCGGCGGTCTCCGGCCCGCACGTGGGTGTCGCGGCGCTCGGGGACGGGGACGCTCCCGCCCCCCGCCCCCGGCCCGGGACTCAAAGTTTCACCCCTCGCCGCCCCGCCCCTGCGGCTGCCCACAAACTTTTTACTCCGGGAGCGGGTGGGGTGGCCGCGCGGCGGGGCCCGCGGGGGTGGCGACGAGGGCGCAGCGCGCTGCTGGGGTGCCGGGTGCCCCTCGTGGTCAGCGGGCATCTCCAGCCGGGGGCCGCGGGCCCCGGGGGACACCCCCCCCCCCGCCTTCTCGGTGGCCCCGGCTCGGACCTGTTGACGGCGCTCGCCCGGTGCAGGGAAAGGGTGGGCAGATCCCCATGGCTGGTCGAGAGCCTCCGGTGGCTCGTCCTCCCTTCCTCGCCGCCCCCTCTCCCTCTCCTCGCGGTCATTTTCCTAATTGGACGGAGCTGTGGGGCGTGATCGTCGGCGTCAGCTCGAGGAGCCCCCCCCGAATCCGGTGGTCTTCCTTCCCCCCCGACTCTCAGACCCCACCGAACCGGCCTCGGTGTTACCCCCACCCCGAGCTGCGGACTTGCTAACTCGTGCGTAGCGGGTTGTTGGGTTTTTTTTTTTTTTTCAACTTGCCTTTTAAGATGACTTTTATGGTCCCTGCAACTGCTTCCCTCCAGTCTAAACTGTAGTTTGGGAAGATTTAAGAGGCCAGGGAGGTGCTTGTGTGGCCTTTAACTAATCCAGAACGGTCATTAGTGTATCTCTACGCCCTGCGAGATGGTTCCGGCCAGGCCAAGCAGTAGCCTGGGTGTGTTTTCACCCGGACACTGCGGAGTTCCTTCACGGTCTTAGCGGTCGGCCTGCCAGTGAGGGGACACTTGACCCGCGGGCCCAGTGCCCTATCTTCGAAGGGCACCCTGGGCGTCTTTCTTTCCGTTCACAATGGAAACTGTCCGCCACTGTCCACCTGAAGACGTACCTAGTCCCTGTGGATACCTCGGAAGCTCACAAAACTCCCCCACAGGTGTGCGGAGGACTTTGTGCCGCTGGGGGTCATCCGGCCAGCTTTGACGCTGCCCTCTCAGGCCTTGCCTTTGTACATGTGTAAGTAAAAACAGCCAAAGTTCATTTCTGCCAAAGAGAAGAGCTGATGTGTGGGAAAAGGAGACGGCGGGGGAGGGCTTGTATCACCTACTAGGGCCCTTCAAAGATTCAGGGAGCTAGTGTGGGAAGGGGGAAATGGTCCTTCACCGTCTTTAGATTTAAGAAAGTGTATTGTGATTAAAGCTGATGGGCCTGTCTGGTTTTTATTTTGAGAGGTAGTATGACCATCACTTTTTCACTTCTTTCCGTTGAGAGCTTTGCTTAGTGGTTTTGTCTCCTCTCCTCTCATCCCACACGTAGTAACCCTGTGCCAGGCACCTGCTGCTCTTGGAGCACAACCTTGAATTGATCACTTACAGCTCCAGCCACCTTGCAGAGCCGGCTTTACTGCCTGAGGGCACTGGGTAGAGCTTAGGGTAGGGGCAAGGGACAGTTGGATCCTATTTTCTTCCTCTAGTCTGGTCTGGTTTCCTGCGTGACCATGTGCCAAGAGTTTCAGTGAGTTGACAAGGGGTCAGACTGACTTCTGGAGTGTCTTGGTTGTCTTCTTCAAGCTGTGCTGAGCTGGCCCTCGGTCTCATGGTGTAGGAGGTTTTTGTTTGTGCTCAGGTCCCTTCTATCACAACCAGGCATTTTATTTTAGGCTGTCTAGAGGCAAGGAGACAGACAAGGTCTAGACTATCTTTTGGGTTGGAGGAAAGAGTAATGGATCACCAGAGATTTTGTATGGTTTCTGGTTTAGGTTTGCCTTGTGGCTTAGAGATGTTTCTAGCAAGGCTGCTCTTGGGAAGTAGCTAACTACTATTTCCTTCTCTTTTGAGAAGTGTCTCATTACCTAGTCCAGACTGGCCTTGAACTGGTGATCCTCCTGTCTCAAGTTCCTGGGTGCTGAGACTACAGGCATGTCCCACCACACCTGGCTGTGGTATAGTCTCTTTCTAGAAGGGAATAGTTATCTGTGGGTCACAACCCCCTTTGGGGGTTGCATATGAGATGTTTACATTAAGATTTATAACAGTAGCAAAATTACAGTTATGAAGGAGCAACTAAATAATTTTATGGTTGGGTCACCACACCATGAGGAACTGTATTAAAGGGCCACAGCATTAGGGAGGTTGAGAACCACTGGAATAGTAGAGAACTAAAAGGAAGAGTCTGATGGGGATGTTTGGTGCTGGTTCCTCCCTTGGCTTGATCACCCGCAGATCCCTCGGGCCTTGCTTGACCCCAAGTAGGTTTACTCAGTTTACAAAAGGAAGGATTCTGCATCTGCTCAGTCTCTGTTAAGGACAGTGGGGCCATTCCTTTGACTCCAAAACTAGAAGATCTTAGAGACTGTTTGAAAACATCCAAGGCAGGAAGAGTACCCCATTGACTAACAGTCACTAGCAGGGCAATCACTCAAATCTGAGCCCCTGGGGTCTCTTTCCACAAGGCCTCTACCTTTACTGCTGCTACGGATTCGCAGCCACACATAGTTCAAAGAACATGGCTGTGAGACATGAAACCAGCCATGGGCTTGTAATGCATGTACAGGCTGAGGTAACATCGCCTTATTTTGTAGGTATGCCTTACATGCTGCTCCGGAGGACTGGGCAGGCCAGGGCAATTATTGGGAGAGCTTGCTATTTTAACACCAGTCTCTTTAAAGCCTAGCAGTTCAGCAGGGTAGAAGTTTAGTCATCAGGATGTTCCTAAATTACCGGGTTTTGATCTGGAATACTTTCTTCATACTTTGTACTTGTGTGTGGTTTATTTAGGGTTTGGCTAGAGGGGAAGAATGGGGACAGAAGGAAAGGGCTTCAGCTAGCTGATCTCCATTCAGGGTTTAGAGCTGCTAGAATGTCTGTTTAGTGGGGGCAGAGAGCTTGGCTATCTATGGATTTTCCCCTACCAACGTATTTATTATTTATTGATTGCTTA